CCCACCACCCCCAAGGTCGCATTCCCCCAGCCCCAGCTCCTCAGCACTGCGTTTGGTCCGGTCCACTGCAGGTGACAGCGAACAGTGTCTCTGGGACGGTCTCTCTGCCCTACAGCCAGGAGCTGCCCTGCCTGTGCCTCGAGGTCAGTGAGGGTGTGGCCTCAACTGCCAGGAGGGGACAAAGGAATGGGCAGGCCCTGCACTGACCCCAGCCTCTCCCATAGAGCTGGTCTGCGACCCCAGATGCTGTGCGGACCCAGATCTGCCCCTTTGAAAATGGCAAGTGCCCTGTGGTGCCCAGTGGTCTGGGGGAGAGAGGGAAGAGAGAAGGGTGGGAGATGGGCAGGTCAGGAGTGTCCAGCAGGGTGGGGGCAGGCCTGGTCCAGCTGGAAGGGCTGAGGCACGGGGCAGACTACATGTAGTGAAAGGTATGTGCCAGGCAAGCCCCTCCAGGTGGTGGGAACTGCGTGTGTGTGCCCAGCACACACGCATGCACATGCCATGGCCTGGCTCACCTGGAAGATCCAAGTCTTGTTGAGAGGGGGCCTCTGAAGGTACAAGAGAGGTACCTGCCCTCTGCTCTGCTCAGCGACACCGGGCACACACAGTCACAGCCTCGGGCCAGGCCAGAGACCCACAGGAGAACTGAACTTGCGTGTCTGGCCCCAGTGCACCTGTCGTGCAGATGCCAGGTCCTTTCGCCCACTGGCGGCCAAGGTAGGGTCCAGTTGATTTGAGCCCTGGGGGCGGGTCCCTGCAGACACGGAGGCGCTGTGGAAGGCCATCCACTACCACCCAGGGACCCGGGCACTGAGCTGGGAGCCTGCCTGTCCCGTGAGCGGCCACGTGAGCCTGTGCTGGTGCCCAGATCCAGGGGCCCCCTGCCATGAGCTGGAGCACTCACACCGGCCTGCACATGGCAGGGTGAGTGCCCACAAAGGGGGAGGTGGGGGTGACCACAGTCGGCCAGGGCCCTGACCTGAGCCCCCCTCAGGTGCAGTACTCACCGGTGGACACCCAGCCCCAGCTCTGCCTCAAGGTGAGTGGGCCTGGCCACAGCTGCCACTTGCACCACCTGAACTTGGGGAGGGAGTCTGAGAGGCACGCAGAAGGCCTGAGGCATTGAGGCAGGGTGCCTGCAGCACTACACCTCCCCCCAGTGCCTTGCTCAGCCTGGGGTCCACCCTCCCAGCAGCCCCTCTGACACCCTTCCTGGTCTGACAGTGGGTAAGCTAAGGGCTGGGGTGGGGAGCCAGTTCCAGAGGGCGTGGAGGAGCCCCCAAATGCACACCCCACCACACCCTGCCCCTTGCTTCTCCACAGTTCTCCACCAGCCTGGGCTTCTGGGTGAGGTGCCCTTTCCAACAGCCACGCTTCCCAGGTGAGCTTACCCAGGAGGCTGGCTGTGCCCTTTGCAGCATGGATGCAGCAAATACCAGAGAGACAGGACGCCAGGGAGCTGGGTCCGTGGGAGGGGGAATGGGGGTGGGTGAAGAGCTGGGCCTCACCCCTCCACCCCTGCAGCCTGGAAGATGACCATCCAGCCAGCACCCTCCCGGACCCACCTCCGGGTCACCTTCTTCTCGCCCAGCCCCGCCTGCTTCCAGGTGTGCCTGTGTCATCGAAGGAAGACCTGGGCCCTTGCCTGCCACCGGACATTCCAGGCCACCACCCTCCCTCCAGGCTCTGTGAGCCAGGTGGGTGGGTACCACCCTGGGGAGGGCGGCTGGCCCCTCTACCTCCCTCTAGGCCCGAGGCTGCCTGCGGGGACAGTGCTGAGAGGGCCAACGCCCACGCTCCGAGCACATGCCTGTGCAGGGGGGACAGACATGGAGTAGCCTGGTCTGTCCCCCATTGCCTGTGACCTACCCCTTTCCCCACCAGGCTGGCCTCACAGTGGAGTCTGCCTTTGTGGACATTCCCAGGGACAAGGCCTGTGGGCCCGACACTTGCATCCAGGTGGTGGTGCTGCCCTGCCCATCCCCCCACTCCAGGCCTCAGTC